TGGATCAATTTTCTAGTTGGAAATCCAATATGGAAGTTATTATAAACTCTCTTGATAAGTACGTTTTACATACTTATTTTACTGTCAAAATATGAGCAATTTTTTATTAATATGTTGGAATATAACTTAATTCTATGCAATTAATGTTTTGCAGGACAAGTGATGAATGTGGCGAAAATAATGAGAAATAAGTGAAAAATAACCATAATGGAAGAAAGTGAAAGTTCAAGGACTAAAGTGCAAATACTCAAAAATTATGTCGGAACTCACGATGAAGGTTTGAGAGTGCTAAGGGTCGATTGGAAGCAATTAGAAGTCAAAAAGGAATGAAATATTTTCAAAATCAATTTCCAATTTGCACAAGATATATTCCATATTTTTAGCCGAAAATTGAGATCCATTTTTGGTATAGTAAAAGTCAGAAGTGGAAAATATCTATTTCTAACAAAGTTGTAGCTCTTCGAGTTATCTTTCCAACGCATCTTGAATCATCTAAATAGGATATCAGAAGAGAAAGTTATAACCAAATTATTGACTACTGTGTAGAGACAAAAAATCCGCGAGTTGGATCAAATCGCCTATGAGGTCCATCGAGACGTAAGGAAAGTCCTAGCTACTTCAGCTGACATTCAGACCTTAGTTATTGTATTCTTTTAGGATCCTCTATCTGCTCCTACACAGGCTATGGACCTCATTCATTCTGATATCATTCCCAAGCTTTTGATTGAGGATAATAATTTGGTACTAAATTGAATTCCTTTGATTCATGAGGTAAGTGAGGTAATGTTTAGTATTGATGCTGACAATGTTGTCGGATCGGATGGATTCTCATCCCTATTCTTCCAGGATTGCTGGGATATTATTCAGAATGATGTATACAGGACAATCTTGGACTTCTTTAATGGTGGGCATCTTCCACACTACTATAGTATTGCTCCCTAAGAGGGATGGTGCTTGTAGATGGACCAACTTCAGACCCATCAGTTTATGTACAGTGTTCAATAAGTTTATTGCTAAGCTTTTGAACACTAGATTGAGTATATTGTTATTGTTCATTATCTCTCCTCAACAGAGTGGGTTCATACCTGGTCGCGTAATTGGGGACAATGTTCTATTGGTTCAGGTGCTCCTCCATAATTTGGATGATAGAGTGTGAGAGGGTAACATTATGCTAAAGCTAGACATGACTAAAGTATATGATCGTATGGATTAGGGCTTCATTCATTATGTATTAGAAGCCTTCGAATTTGATCAGATCTGGATCGATAGGATCAGGCAGTGCACCTCGAACTGTTATTTTTTTGTACTCCTAAACGGCGGCCATGTGGTTTTTTTCCCTACTCATAAGGGCTCAGACAGGGAAATCCTATCTCACCATCCTTGTTCATCATAGCTGTAGATTACTTCTCAGGCCTACTCACTTAGAGGCTTCAGGAGTATCCCAATATGTGTTATCAACATAGAGGTAGTACTCTTGTCTCACACCTTTCATTTGTTGATGATATGATCATATTTGCCAATGGTTAGAAATAGTCTATCAGGATGACTCTTGGTTGTCCGGAGCATTATGAAGGAGTTTCTAGTCAGTTGATGAACATGGACAAGAGCGGACATATACTACCTAGACGGGCATCTACTAGTCTGATCAAACGATTGGAGATTTTTGACTAATTTTCGACGGCAGCAACAGCCTTTCACTTATCTGGGAGTCCCCTTATTTAAGGGGACCAAGAGGAGCTTCATTTATGATGACCTTATCCAGAAGATCGGGGACAGGATCTGAGGTACTTCACGACTTTTATCATATAGGGGCCATATTACTTTGCTATGGTCAGTGCTCTCCTCCATGCCATTACCCATTCTTCAGATCATGCAGCTCCCTAAAGCTATCCCGAAGAAACTTGAGAGCACCTTTGTGTGATTTCTGTGGGATTCCAAAGAACAGATACGACGTTTACACTGGCGGAACTAGAGGGAGATTTGCCTTCCTACTGATGAGAGTGGTCTAGGCTTTAAAAGATAATAGGATGTAGTAGACATATTCTTCATGAAGCTCTGGTGGTTGTTCTGTTCTTAGAGATCTCTTTGGGCTCAATTTTTTACGGGGCAAGTATTGTATAGGGACATATCATTTATTCGCAGCAGTTCCCTACTTAGCTTCTCCTATTTAGAAGAGGCTAAAATTAGTTGGGTCCCAAACAGATTTTCTTTTGGAGCAAGTCAAATTTTCTTTTGGCATGATTGTTGGATGGGTGAGACCACATTGGCATCCCTATTCCCATACAGACAGCACATATCTGTGAGGGTGCGGGATTTCTATAATGATACTGGGTGGGATATTGGACGTTTATTACAGGTTCTCCCGCCTCTTATGGCGGAGCAGATAGGGGCTATACCTTTATGTATAGATGATCGAATTTTTAGGCAAAATACATCAGATGGTAGCTTCGTTACCATGTCAGCATGGCAGTTCATACATTTGGGATGCCAGTAGCAGGAATCTTACTGGCTATCAGTTGGCTTCTCGCTACCAATGTTGTTCCAAGACAGAGACTATCAGTCATATTTTCAGTGGAAGTAGCATCTCTAATCTGGTATGGCAAAATTTTGAGGATATTTTTTAGATATCTATGAGCTCATGAGAGGAAGTCAGATAGAGATTCTAGAGATTGAGGTATTCTAGACAGTATGTTCGTTGTAGACATATTTGCATTATCATTCCTCTGCTGATATTTTGGTATCTATGGACCACGAAAAATGATGCAAAGCATATGGGGATTTGCGTGGTAGCCGGATGTATCATTTGGAAGGTCTATCGCATGATCTCTTTTCTTCATATGGAAGGACTACCTCGAGTGGTGCATTAGCGAGGGAATTTGACACTTGCACCCATATTTGGTATTTTTATGGACCCCCTTCCCCATCTCTCCCTATTCAGGTTTGGTGGTACACTCCATCAGTCGGATCTGTCAAGATCAATACTGATGGATGAGTCAAGGATGGTCATGGAATAGGGGAGGCATCATCAGAGATCACGCAGGACAATGTATATGGGTTTTCTTAGCTTCGTATGGACCATGCAAGATATTAGAGGCAAAGCTCCAGGCTATTTTTGATGGGATTTTACTAGCTTACGGACTGGGCTA